TATATATCCTAAGTCGCGCTTTCCAGACATGAAAAATGCAATTTGAATTTCGTGGCCCAGTAAAAGATATAGAAGTGTCCCATTTTTCTTTTTTCTGCTGTGTACATATTACAGTAAAAAACTGTTCTTCTTGATATTGAGAGTAAATTGGCAACGTCACTCAACCAATGGTATGAAGACGCAGTCATTTCCAAAGCTGATAGTTACTTTTTCTTATTAATATATGCAAAAAGTGACAATTCTTGAATTTTTTTTAAGTTACCTTATAGATGGTTTAGAGAAAAGGCCATCCCTAATATGATAATTCTAATAACAGGGGTAACAGAAATGAAATATATAATTTTTTGCCCAAATTGAAGAAGTACCATATACCTTTGCTACCATCAATGCCGTGCCTGTAGTATTATGCTGTGACGCTACGTGACTAGCTGTGAGGTTTTACAGTAAGATCGCAACATAAAAATCTTAATGGTTCAACGAAGAGTTTCTCATTTTCTCGCTTTTTTTCAAACTTCTTAGTTTGCTATTATTTTCTCGTGGAATACTTATACATAAAACCGTGAGTTTCAAAGTAAGCTTCGGAGTGTATGTAAGTTCCAGCAGGTACTTCAGGTCGAATACAGCTGTATCTTAGGAAAGACAAATCCTTAGCATCTTCTGGACTAGATTTTAGGAATGCCTATAAGATAAAAATATGGGTGCTACTTTGGTAGACGGTTGCACGGATTTTTGGCGATTTACGTTGGCCGAATTGTTGGCGGGATTTTTACAAACGCCAGCCATCTTGAAAAACGCTGTTTTTACGCATAGTAAAGTATTCGAAACTTAAAAAATAAATAAATAAATATCGTTAAAAGTAATGGATTAATTTTTTGTTGAAAATGTCATTTTTTAAGATGGCAGGCAAGTGTAAATAAATACATTTACTATGAGTATAAAATACTAAAGTAAGGTTATTATTACTTTCATATAGCAAAGAAGAGAATAAAAACACCGCTATAAAAACATTGGGCCAACGTTTAATCAGATTAAAATATTACTGTAATTAAATATCGAATTAAAAACCATCATACCAACATTTAAAAGAATTAGAATATTATTAAATTCAAATACTTTAAAATACGTTATATAGAATATAATTAACATTAAAACATATGGACAATAATTATCTCAGCAATTTCTGAAAATAGTGTATTAATTTTTTTAACAAAAATTGAAGTATACAATCATAAAATAAAAGAAAAATATGTACTTACATTTTTTTTGAGTTTTTAACCTGTTGTTTATTGATAAGTACCACAATAAAAAATCAGAATCATAATTTAGATAACATCTTTGAAGACATCTTTGAAGGAATTCGAAGATATAAATTAAATTTTAAAATGGCGCGGAAATGCACAAATTGTCAGTAACCAATCAGGGAGCTGATTACATCACGGCTAGAATTAAAATTATTTAAAAATTCATACATAATAAAATCATTTTTTTAAAAAAATGCAAAATTAAATTGTATTTTAATATTTAAAAGCCATAAATAATGTTTAAAACATTAGATTAAATTTATACATATTAAAACGAATTACTCTTAAAGGGTGACGTCATTGATTACATCATCCACAACATAAAATTTCATAAAATATGATAAACAATAAAATTTTTATTTCAAATAAAAATGCAAAATTAAATTGATTTTTAATATTTAAAAGCCATAAATAATATTTAAACGCGGAATTTATGCACAATAAAACACACTATTTTTTAAATAAAATGACAACAAAGTATCGGTTACCATAAATAACTTATCCAGCAATGGGTTTACCATAAGTTGTATTACTCGCCAAAGGAAAATCGCCAAAATCAGTGCAACCGTCTACCAAAGTAGCACCAAAATATGTATTTGGACAGTATTACCTTTAATACAAACGGGTGTATTTCGCCTACATTTTAAGCAACGTGTTCGCATTCTGTAATAGTATCCTGCAGTGATATGTAATTTTTAACACAGAGTAATAATAAATAATTTTTAGAGTCTTGCTAGTGTTACTATTACTGTTCATTATAACATTGAACTTATGACGAACCCAGTACTTATGACGGTTATCTCATTATGCTTATCTGTTATATTTGTTACACCAAAACAGATGTTCAATTTAATTTGTGAACTTCAAATTCTATTGAGACAATATTGTTATCTCTTTATATCCTAAATCATTATTTTTAATAAATACTAGATGCAGGCCGTACGGTGGGGTTGCACAATGCATAAATAAAACTCTAAATAAATAACCGTAAAAGGTAATAGTAATATTGTTGCGTTCTTCTTTCTTCTCTGACTCCACTTGTTATGTTATTTTCTTCCTTCACGTTCATACGGGGTTCGTGTGGATTTGGAGTGAATAACGGCGACACTTGATGAAGTATCGAAACACACTTTATTAGCCAGTATTGTCAGAGCAGCTCCAAAATACGTTTTACAGTCGTCGATGAACTACTATAAACACGCTGACAAGATCAGCGACACAGCCTTCAGGTTATCAGTCTATCACGGGGAAGACAGCTTCCTGCAAAGCACCTGACTCTGCTTTCCGGAGTACAGCTCCCGAATCTGCCTGGTCGTTCTTGGAACTCCACGTACTCTCGAGACTCTCCACGCTACAACTCGCGATGCACTCGACGACACACGAGCACAGCTCAGCTCCCGACTCTTCGGCTCAGTCGTTCCCGGAGCTCAACATGCTCTCTTGACGATGCACTAACCGCGATACACTAACAGACTCCTTCGGAGCACTCGACGACCCACTCGGCACTCGCTGCCCGGCTGTCAACTCGATCGACTCCGCAGGGATCTACTTGCTAGATGCGACAACAACTCGATACTGACTCTCTCGCACTCTATGCGAGGCACACACACTGACTGACTGCGGACCAGCAGGGTTTGTATAGCTTTCGGCTTGTGTTCGAGAACATTCTGGGCTAAATTGGTATAACTATAATAAGTAAACTCTAAACCATTTGGAAAGTTACACTTGCCAATTTCCTAAACAATTTCCTCGTTTGTAAATTCTTACAAAGCTTCCATTTTTTCTTTTCTTAACAATTAGTATAGAAAGACACTACCAGTTGACCCATGGTACATCGCTGGTGACCCCCATACCTTTACCTGTACCTGTATTTAGAAGCTCGTGTCACAATCTGCAGACCATACTGTACCGATAGCTAATTATCACTGAGTCCGAAACAATAACTAATTCGGAGAAAGGTCAAATTCACTTTTTTAAGCTAGGAAGGGCACAGCTTGCGTTATAAACGAAATTCCGCTACCTTGTAAACAGTTAAATTAGTATAACAGAAAGATAAAATTCAAATGTAGGTAACGTTGTCGAAGACTGTACATAAAATAGTCTGTTTAAACTCTCTCAGATATATACCGGTGCTTGTTTTAAAACGTCAGCTAGAAGAAGGATAACGATGCTATACAAACTAGGCAGAAATAGCAAGAATACGTAAGACTAATACGTCGCTGCTAGCACTAGAACAGCCGAATTTCAGACTAACCGAAAACCGCCATTGGGGGTCAATTTGACCCTCGTAAGAAATGTAAGTAGAAACACAGTCAATTAATGAAATGATGCTGAAATGACCACATAAAAGAGTTTTAGAGGTTTTTATTTATTTTTTATGCTATAGAATTATTTTTTCGTGCAATTAGTGCAAATTAGCACACAATATCTTTCAATGCAAGATTACAAAAACAAAAACAAAATCTATGAAAAACAAACAAAAGATACAAATGCAAAAAGTGGAAAATAGAACATATGCAAAAAATTAAAAAAAAAAAAAAAAAAAACATAAATTGGGAATAAACACACAATGTTTTCCAAAGTTTGTTATACATTACCGCAGGTGATACAATATGAACGCTTGACAGTGACAGCAACACATTTACCACAAATTGGTTTCTGGCATCCCTCACAGCTGACAACAGTCTTGTTTTGTCCCTTGCAACTTTAAAATGCACATTTCTTTCCTTTAAGTGTCTGTATTTGAGCAATTGGGGGGCATCTGTTGCGTAGTGCACCAACTCGTAGTTCTTCCACGAGTGCAAGAATAAATTCTCGACGGGAAATAGAGGTGCCCAAGGATTCTTTGAATATAATCCAAGCATTGAGTTCAGCAATGTCAAGGACGTTGTAAAAAACATGTACAGGCCACCTGCGACTTCCACTACTTGTACTATATTTCCTCAGCATCTGATCTGCGACATCAATGCCACATTTTGTACTGTTGTAGTAAGTGACAGTGTTCGGTTTTTCTTTATGCTGTCGTCAACAAACACATTACTGTGCGTCGTGCTCAGAATCACGACATTCGTTTTGCTCTTGCACCTATATATTGTGAGTGTTTTGTCTCCATTTTTCAGTGCAAAAGATGAATATCGTGCCGAAGAAGTTTCACGAGCAATGGGGGTAATTCTCGCTTATTCAGAACGCATCGTCCCCGACAATTGTGGTTTATTTCGCAGAAAGTTCATCTGCAAGTTTCACAGAAGTAAAAAAAAAATTGTCAGTTGTGACATTGAGTCCGGAGTTTAGATGTGGTTGCAGTAATTTGAGAACTACACTTTCCCCAAGTTGTAAATTAGTTGGTCGTTCTTCATCCTTGCCCAGATAAGGATAACCATTCAAAACATATTTGGATTTTACATCAGTTGCTAGCCAGAATTTGATGCCAAACTTGTCCTGTTTATTCGCCATATACTGGAATAAATCTACATCTTGGATTTACAAGGCAACAATTGTTCATCAACGGTTATTTCTGATCCAGGATTATAGCATAAATAACAGTTTTTCCATTAGCTTGTACCAGGTTACAGAAGCGAGAGCAAATTTGTTAGTGGCGAGACGATCAGCTCTGGTGCTTCGGACATCTGAGAATCTGAGATACCGCATTATTTCACGGAACTGATTGCGTGACATTGTTTCTTTGAACACAGGTGGTCCTCAATTCTTGTTCCACAAATCATCTGCACAAAGTTTTGAATGGCCTAGTGCTCCACGGACATACAGGAGGGCAAAAAAGGCATCAAGTTCTTCCAGAGTAACATGCCAGTTACTATCATCTCTAAGTTGGCGTCGTGCCTCTGCAACTGTACATGATTGAATGTGTTTCGCCATTGATTCACTCACCATCAAACGCCCCGCTGAAGCAGGATTTGTTCCTATATTACGACGTGGAAACGACGTTGGTCCACTTGCAGTGGTTACAGTATTTCGAGCTGGCGTGCGACCTGAAGTGAAAGCGGTGCTGCTAAGGTTCATAGGGGTCCAGAGAATACCGCTGGATGAGGTATACTTCTCATTACTGCTGCCAGCCACGTTGTTGCCTCGTCCTTGACCACGACCACGTCCGCTTCCACGTGAGCTTCCGGCTTCCCGCATAGGGATCACATTTCCAGAATTGTCCTCGACATCACAATCACTGCTTTCAGAAAGCGACGCATTCTGTAAGTTCACATCAACGTTAAAATCTTCATCACTGCTATCATCACCACTTATATCTGATTCCAACTGTTCAAGGAGGGCAAGGCACTCTTGTGTACTCAATCCTTATCCTCTCGGCATTGCAATGGAGAGAGAATATGCTCCGTTCTGGATTTTAATTTTCTCCCCTGAGTCATCGCGATAAGAGCTGCGTGTTTCCCAATGCGCAGAAAAAGAAAACGTGGCATCGGGAATTCGAAAACGGACATTCGCTTTAAAATATGTCCTTTTTCTTATGAGGGTCAAAATGACCCCAGTTGGGTGTTTTAGGTAGTTGCGATTATTTATTTAAATAATTAACGTAGAAATATGAAAAATTGGCATAGTGCACTTGGAAACATTTTAGAAAAGTAAAAAAATATCAGCTTCGAAGCTCAGCTGTATGTTAAAAAAAAAAAAAAACGCAGAAAATTGGAAAAAAAGGTCATAATGACCCCAACAGCGCTTCTAGTGCTAGAAGCAGTAATCTAAACATTCAAAACCATCAGCTTAAATAAACAACTAATCTGTGTTATGGTGAAGAATAAGTAAAGAAGAAGTTATAGTAAAGGCTTGAATCACAATGATTGGTTAATTAACATAAAATACATTACAAATTCTGCATTGACGATAAGAAATGATATATGCATTTCAATTTCTTTTTTTTATTTTGTTCATTATTTCCATTTCGTTTTGGGGAGTTTGGCCTGATGGATTTTGTATCCACAAATTATAAATGTTCTTAATTTAGAATCTTAAATCACATGCCCTATTCATTTTTACGCTTAATTCTCCCTTCTTGCATAGAACTGGATGTGTTGATCTTTGTTTTTTTTTTGTTTGGACCAGAACCATACAATAACATCGTAAAGGCGACAGCTAAGCTTCGAAAACTCCACGAGAAACGATCAAATATTTCGCCTATGGGTGAGCAAATAATAATTTACAAAGTGTCAATAACATCATATATATTCGTGGACAACAGCTCCATGGAACATTAAGCATCTGATATAACCGAACATGTCTTCTTATCAACACCTCATTCATTAGGCAACTCGTGATCAATAGTCAACTCGCAACTCAACAGCATAGTATAGATTCTCAGATCCTTCGACGTCCACTTTGTTAGTACCAATTATCCGGCTTCACTGAATTTTCACCATCCGACATTATAGAAAGCGAGGCGCATAGCTCATCTAACTACTTCTCGCATAGCCAGTGTTGTAATTGGATCGAAACTTGGCAACCTTGGTCTAAATTCTAAGAGCGATGTAATAAAGAGTAAATATAAATGGCCATTTTCTCGTAATGTTGAAAGCGTTATAATAGCGTTATAAATGAAGTTATTATTTGAGGTAACAACAAATTTCATATGTATATGAATTTAACCACTTTAATAGGCAAATTTTTCGAATTGCCACACTTTGTTTCAAGCTACCACTAAAGAAGGGAGAAATTAAATTACATGTTGTGATTAAAAAATGATGTTCAAAGCATATGTCAGTGCATAGGGATCTTTGTGAAATACTAGAAGAAGACCTCTGTTTCGCAATTACAAAACATGCAGCAGAATTTCGGGAGGACTTTTCCGGCTCGCCGTACATTTAGGTGTCCCCGTTCCACACAAACACTATCCATTTACAAACATCAATGCCTTTTCCGGGTTTCAAGGCTAAATCGGTGTGGCTCTCGGCGTCACTAAACACTATATCGTTGGGACGACATATTTAAGTGTGTAGAGCTATTAGGTCATTTCGAAGCAGGAGAGATGAAAAATGAGCAATGCCCTCGCCGGCACACGAACCACGGACCTCTCAAATACGCGTCGAGAATGCTGACTACTACACTACGAAGGCATGCCAAGAAGGTGGGAGAAGTACCTTATAAGTGTTTACAATATATTTAAAATAAGTACTTTGAAATGAATTAATGGTTTAACATTTTTCTATGTTTATTTCCAATTGTATCAACAAATGTAAATTCATTTTGATCTGCCCTTATATCCACGCGATATTCAGATATCAGTAAACAGTACTCGTTAGTTTTGGGGATTAAAGTGTGACTACCGTGCCTCCGAGGTCAGTAAGAAGCAAAGGAATAGGTGCTTTTGAATTTGTTATTTCCCCTTGAGCCTCGTCATCATCAACAATGCAAGAGCATAAAATGTGTATTTACTGGTAGCATTTAATTGATATGATGGCTTAAGGCTCTTGCCAAAGACAGGTGCAATCTTGCACCGAGGTCTTGTTCTGATATCACTGTCAGACAAGTAAGATAAGTCACAACAACTCTGGTAAAATACCTGCATTATAAAAGTTTGGAAGTTTTACAACCGAAAAGCCGTTATAAAAATCATACTCTTCTACGACTTGATTTAAGTAATTATCATATCTGGATGTAATAGAAATAGCCTTAATATGTGCTGCATTACTAGTCCAAAGGGGCAATTTGCCCAGAACGCTATTAATTTCGCTTTGACATTTTGCGCCATTTACTATAAAATGGCGTTTCACTTGTCAAATTTTTGCCGCCAAATATAAGAGCCCTGTATAACGAAATTAAATAATGAAGAATCTGCATGAATGTACGCATGTTTCTGGCATTGTGAAAAAACAACGGTACCTAGAGATATCAAATTTTGAATTACTTAGTCTTCCACTCAAATATGGGCAGCCGGAAGCCCAAGTTTAGAATTATGAATATTTTTTGAAATTTTAGCTAATTTTTGATCAACAAACTCATCGATTTAAAAGCGAACAATGGCAAAACTGTATGGAGAAAGAAAGGCTTTTATCTCCAACGCGTGAGACTGTCTATCGGAATTTCTAAAGATTCTTTTTAAATATTTTGTGATATTGCTGAATTGAATTTTATGGTTTAATTAGGAAGAAGACGATATTTAATTATAAAAATCTTATGTGTACACCACATGACTTCCTTGTACGGAATATTAAATTATACGCATTTTTTCTTGCATTTCATTTAAACTTATTAGATTGAATTAAACCTACTTCGCCGACAGCGCTTAAACCACAATAGAATAAATGCATTCTTTAAAATGCACTAACATAGCGACGCCCTGGCGCTAGGTTTACTTAACAGTATTATATTTCGTTCATAACTCAGAATGCACAAAATTTATATCCTTTAAAGAATTATCTAATCGTTGCCACATGTTCTATTCAAATACTATAATAAAGCTAGAACTATGTATAAAAGAAATTAAGCAAACAAAACAGAAAAGAAACAGTTTTTCACAGACGATTGAGTATTTCTCATTCAATTAATTCAGTTCTCACTTGGTGACAAGGCAAAAATACATAAAAACTCAAAATATCTATATTAAAAATTACGAAGTAAATCTTCAACGCTTATTTCCTCGAAAAAATTCCAGAAAGGATTAATCATGATTTAAATAATAAATGAAGGCGTTATGTTTGTTGTTGCGAAGCTAAGTTTCTCTAGATTGGCAACAAATCCGCTATCCTGCTGTTTGAAATGTAAACAAGGGCAATGGCCGCCAAAAAAAAAATATTAGGCTTAGCGGCACTTAAACAATTTTAAAATTGTTGATAATTCTTAAAATATTGCATACAGATTTACTAAAGGCATAAAAACCTTAACCGAAAGGTAAGAACAACATAATTCAATCATTTTAAAGCAAAAATTGTACAATTTACAAGCATATAAGAGTAAAGAAACTGAGATCACTGAGCCGGGTAACAGAGTGGATATATATATAAATATATTTATATACGTTTGGTGCGGCCGATTGCAACCAAAATACGAAGTGCACATCTACGTGTTATGGCAGTCCTATATACAAAATTTCAACGTTCTGAGGCTACTCGTTTTTGAGTTATGCGAGATACGTACGTACGCATGTACGTACATACGTTCGTACAGAGCCACGAAAAATTCTCTTCAGAATTCATTTTAAAGCAGTTTTATAATTTTTTTTGGAGGAAAAGAGCGTTTTATTCTGTCCTTTCATATAGATATCACGGAAATACATAGTTAAATTGCATTTGAAAGAGTTCAAAATGGGATATTTTCGTTGAAATATGCTACCTGAAACTTTTCGCGATTACAATACTTCCTTTTTACTTCGTACAAGGAAGTAAAAAAAGGTAGCACACAAAACGTTAAAAAAAACCCTTTGGGAGTAATAAAAAATCTGAAAGCTTTCAGATTTTTCTCATTTATTTTTATTTTTACTTTTATTTACTTATTTATTTTGGAATAAATTTGTATAGTAATTCTGTATTTTCCTACAAAAATCTATTAATTGTTCTAAATAAAGTACCACTTCTTGTTTAACATACGGGGTCAAAATCTAACATATTGTTTGCTCTCAATTCTGATATCATATGCATCATATATGCATGTACAACTTTGAAATAAGCAATTTGAGAAGTTTTGCATTGTATGATAACATATTTTTTCACGAAAATCCGTTGAGAGCTTCAAGCAAAGTACCACAAATTTTGAGTTTTGACACAGAAGTCTTAAATATTAAAATCGAAAAGCTTTAGATGCCGCTTTTCACTGAAAACTGGTTATGCGCTTCCAGTAAAATATCATTTCCGTTTGTCCTGTTTTACCTAAATTCTAATCAGCTTTCAGAAAGCTTGTAGAGTCATTAGGTTAAAGCAGGAATCGGGGAAAATGAGCAATGCCCTCGCCGGGACTCGGACCTGGACATCTCAAATACGCACCGAGTGTGCTAACCATTTCACCACAAAGGCATGCAGAAAGGAGGGAGAAAATAATGGCCTATTATGAGCATGAGACCAACGTGTTTGATTAGGTGAGTCGGGCTGCGTCCTTTTCTGACACCTTATAAGCTTAAATATGGAAAAAAGAAGTTTGGTATAAAAGTTACAGTGGCCGAAAAAATCATCACAAGGTCTAATTACATAAACAGAGGTCAATTTAAAAATAGTAATCATTACAACCAAAAAGGGGAAGTGCACACATACATGTTAAAGAGTCCCATAGACAAAATTTCAATGTTCTGAGGCTACTCTTTTTGAGTTATGCGAGATGCATACTCACATACGTATGCACGTACGGATAGACGACACGAAAAAATTTCTTCTGAATGCATTTTAAATCCATTTCTCAATCCGTTTTGGGGGAAAAAGTCATCTTTCCTTTCCGTACATATAGATGTAACTCAAAAACATTGTTTAGATTGAATCGGAAGTGGTCAAAATGGATATTTTCGTTGAAATACGATACCTAAAATTTTTCGTAAAGCAATACTTCCCTTAATTCTAATACCCAGGAAAGGAAGTAAAAAAAGGAAAAGTCTGCCGGAAACCAAAACATTCTAGCCGAACGTTTTACGCGAGTTTATGTTCAACGGTATTTTTAAAGTTCTTTTGAAAATATTGTTTTGTAATATCATTTAGAAATTAGCTTCTTTATCTCTAACGGTATTTATCTTCTTTATTTCATACTGTTCCTTTCGTTTTGAATGCAAATCCAATTTACATAACCAAATAATAGTATATCACGAATTAAAGCGTTTGAAAATACAGGAAAGTTGTTAATATTATTGTTTTGTTAATTATAATATGAATTCTTCCTCTTTCCTCAAATTTTTTAAACTCATCTTGGATTAGCCCGGACTTAAACCAGGATTAGATATTGCATAATAAATGTTAACTATTCGGGAAATTGTATTCGGTTTATTTTTGTCTTCAGTTTTAATGCAACTCAGTATCGTTAACGCTTACAATTTAATATCATTCACTTGCATTTTAGAGTTTTTCCATGGTGTAATAAATTCAGTTTTAAATTTCCCTCGCTACCCTCTCCCCAAATTTAATTGGATGCAATTCACGTAGCATGAAAAAGCTCCCTGAACTTCAAAAATTTTAATATGTGAGTATAAAATCTGGCAGAACGAAGATTCTCCCTTCTATTATTAAAACTCTTTAGATCCAGTAGAGCAGACAAATTGCCTTACGATCGCCATGTTTTGGCTGTCGTTAAAACATCTCCTTTTATTGATAGGCGATCGTCACTTCCCCTGGTGGCTGGATCGCAAGGAACTTCCGCACTTTTATGGAAGGTTTTTTTCTGACGTGCAAGAATTTCCTAACTATGTGTCTCGAAAAGTTATTGGTCTTCTTCTCTAGTTTTTACAGCTTTCTGACCTATCAGAAAAGCAAGTCTGATAATAAGGAGCTAGAGTAATTTTACACATACGTAATAAAAGGAAGCTTGGTTGGTGTGTTTATGAGTTATTATCAATACTCATATACACTGTTAAAAAAATGTAATGAAATAATTCAATTTCATTAAAAAAAATCTCATATTTCTACTTTAAAAAAAATTCTGATGTGGGCAACATATGACACTTTTTTTTGCTGCCTTTCATTTAAACTTATCTCCTCGTATTTCATTAGAGAAATATTTCTCATTTAATTAATTCAATTAATTTCTCATTCAATTAGTTCTCATTTCTCGACAAGACAAGAATACATAAAAACTCAAGAATACATAAAAACTCAAAACATCTTCATTAATTCAAAGATTGCAATATACAGAAAAAAGTAACCCAAATCAGTTGAAACAGTTAAAAAAAGAGTTTTTATAATTAAAATTAGAGTTTCTGAGCAAAAACAAGCAATTTCGCCAGCGGACAAGAACGCAGAATTTTCGGTGTACAAAACTGAATGTTTACTTTTGGTCTCCCAATCGGCAAAAAGACACTGAAAGTGCAAATGCTAATTTAATTCACTATTCTGCTGACTTTCAAATGTAAACTAATGACAGTTTGTTAGGCTTAAGTCGTTCTCGTTCCTTAAACTTTTAAATTGATGATAATTCTACAACTATTGCATGCAAATTAATAAAGCCATAAACACCTTAACCGGAACATAAAAACCGCATAATTTAACCGCTTTTAAAGCAAAAAATCCACAATTTACCAATATATAGGAATTAAAACACTAAGATCACCGAGCCAGTAACAGAGTGGGATATATATAGAATTTGTGAAGCAGATTGCAACGAAAAAGGGAGGTGCACAACTACAAATTATAGTAGTCCGATATACAAAATTTCAAAGCTATATGACTATTCGTTCTTGAGGTATACAATATATATATATATATATATATATGTACAGACGTCAAGAAACAATCTCTTCTGAAATCATTTTCAATCCATTTTACAATCATTTTTGACAAATTCAGTCCTCTGTTCTATCCATACGTACAGAGATCACGCAAAAACATCGTTCAAAAGATTAGACAGCAGTTGAAATGGGTATTTTTGTTCGAATATGATAACCAGAAACGTTTCGCGAATTACAGTACTTCCTTTATTTCTTACAAGGAATTAAGAAGTAAAAACGTATTATTTTTTAAATCTGAGGAGATTATATAACTTCTTAACTGTATGAATAACAATAAAAATGAAAGCCTTGTTTAGTAGTAAATATATAGGGTGTTTATAAAGTCCAGGACCCATTTTGATGTTTAATAACTCATAAAATAATGAACATATAAACAAACTTATGGCATTTATTGATGGAATAACTTATATATTTTCCTTTCCTGGTTTGAATATCTTTACTTTTATAAATGTCGTCTGCGCGTGTAGTTAATTTCAGATAATTTCATTTTCCATTCTAAATATCTGTACTTTTCTAAATATCGTCTGCTTATTAATTACATTTTTCTCTCTTTTAATGTGCCATAATGTGCGCATATGTGTGTCTGAAAACCTCCATGAATACCGTGAGGCACAAAGGGATTCCCCAAAGGTTAATGTATGGTGTTACATACCTCTTTACCTTCCACCAACGTCTCGAGAGGATTTTCGGATCGCAGCATATTTAGAGTGCTCTCATACCTCACAGACATTATACATTCACAAGCATCCATGCCTTCTCCAAGATTCAAATCTGGGCCCTTCGGTACTGTAGTCAGAGTCACTAGCTACTATTCCCGTTGGGCGGCGCTCTTAGCTTCTAACTCCGTAGACTTCAAAGTAAAGAATAGAAAAATTCACACGTGCTGTCGCCCGAATATGAACCATACATTTTTCAGTTTGCTATTCGGAAGTGTTAAACGCTTAAACCACAAAGGCACACACAAAAGGAGGTGTGGTAAGTCATTACAAAGAAATCTTTTGAAAAATATTTTCCTCTGCTTAAATTTCCATCCTTTTAGCTCAGCCAATATCCCCGCAGGTAACTTTATATTATCCTATATCCGACATCCTCTGAAATAAAATTTCTACATCTTTTAAAGAAAACCTGTACGATAACCAGCAACCTTACCCTCAGATCTGAGCAATTTTAATACCAGGCAAATGCGGCATTTCTATTGGAAATAGCTGATGGGCTTTCGACAGTGCAGTAGTTAAAAAAGAAAGAAATGAAATTTTCAGCCTTTTGTGAAAGTCTGGCGTTAAAGGGGGTTTCGCAATAACTCGAGATTGAAAGTTTTTCCTTTTTGTGTTCTTCTTTCAGTGGATTTAAAAATATAGGTTTTGTATAACGAATAACTCTTTAAACTCTAAAAATGGATTAGAGGGCAATTTTCTGCATTCACGCAAGAATGAGTAGACGAGAAATGCATTTTGGAGTTTTATATTTGACCTCAATAGTATAATACTAACCTCGAATTTCCTCTCTTTTCCGACGTTGTATTACTGCTGGAGAAAATTCTTCTAAGATTTTATTAATAAAATAAAATTCTTGTTATGCAATAAACTAGCATTGCAGATGCTATTAAATTTATGAGCCTTCAACAATAACCATGTGTGGCACATAAAAGTGCGTAAATAAAACGTATTCCATTTGGTTTGGGAATAGATTCTGATTTCAATGTTACGCACAAATACTATTATAGCGTTTACTGAAGGTGGAATGCTATCTCGCACATATATATGCTGCCTTCTTCGTTTTTGCCGCCACATTTCTCGCCGAAGCTATTATTTCGACAACCTTCGCATAGTTTTTGTTAAAAGTACTTTGACTATATTTCGACATTTGAATTATTTTCTCAGGAAATGGCAACCTTATGAATACTTTCCAAGTTTGAAAGTTGAAATACTGCGCCATTTCAATTTTTATCTCAAATTTTTCGTTCTTTTCATTCCATTCAGAAAATCTAATACTACTAATCTAATAAAAATACGTTTTTCGTATTGTTTTACTTATTTTAATTTACGGAAACGTTTCCCACATTTTTCACTTTTACGATGTAAGTTTGAGTGTAATTTAAAAGTTTTTAATTTTTTTCCCACAAAATTTGATTTATAGGCTCTTAACCATTCGGCAAAATTTGTTTCTTGAAAGGTTTTTGTAAATTAAAATTTTACGGATAAATTGACCGTTGTATTTTCTCTGTTAAGTGACGTGTTCAAAACTAGATTATTATTCCGCATTTTTGGATTCTTTGTAATTTTAATTTGTTTCAGATGTATTTATTATTTTGTTATTGTTGTCGAGACTGAAATCGCGTCGGGGTACACTTTGAGAGTGATTGTAAATGTAACTGTATAGAAATCGTTTTTTAATTTTAATATGTATTTTTATTTATATTTTATTCATATTTTTCTTAATATTTTTATTTAATTATCTTTCAAACTTTTGTTTTTGTATCAATTTTGCTGAAAATGTCATTTGAAACTAAACATTAAGACAATATTCCTTAATTGATCAGGTTTTTATCTTTTAAATCATTACGCCTTGAACAGTCTGCAGAATTAAAATATGAATAACTAGCAGCTTTGCTGCCAGCCTTCGTCTGGCTTTTAAATGTACGGAAAAAATGGCTGAAGGGAACACCAAACGTTAAATTTAAAACTGCGTAGAATTTTACTCTGCAGAAAATTTTCATAAAAAAAAAGTTATTACGTATAACAAAATTACAATGAAATAAGCAATATCCCTTAATACAAATATTAATTATCCTAATAAATAAATTAATCAACGTCCCTTTGCAAAATCTTAAGAACTCAAATGGTATAAAGGAGGCTAAGAACTTTAAAAATCATTCAAAACGTTTAAATATCTTAAAAACAGTGAAATGAGCAATAAATAACAGAAAAAATACAAAAAACAAAAAAATTCTGAAAAGCAAAGTATAATTAATGATATTTTATCTTATATTTTCAAGAGAAGAATATTACAATGAAATAAGCTATATCCCTTAATACAAATATTAATTATCCTAATAAAAATTAATCAACTTTCTGTTGAAGAAACAAAATCATGCAAAACTTTTCAATATCCTACAAACAGTGAAATAAGCAAAAAATAACATGAAAGCAACTCAAAAAACATAAAATTCCGCCCAGAATTTTACTCTTCAGAACAACTTTATCAAAAAAAAATCAATAAAAATGTATTATATATATATGTATATATAAATGACAATGAAATCTGCCTATCTCTTAAAACAGTGACAAGAAATACGATGAAAAATTGTTGCCAACCTATTTGTAAAAGAATGAAACTATTCAAAATGATGCTATTTCATCAAAAATCTATCAACAACAATAAGATAGGAAAATTGTTTCCAAAATCACATTTTTAAAGATGTGAGATGTGAGACGTGTACTCGGAAGCTTCATTTAAATTTTTTTTTAAAAAATACAGTATATTATCATTTTTCCAAAATTCTTTTTGTAGAAGCAGCCGCAAGGATGAAAGTTTAACGTGTCCAAAATTCAGAGAAAAATAAACTATACTGTACATTTCTAAACATAAACGTTTTTAGAAAAAATCCCGTTGAAAAGGTGTTAAGCTCACTTTGTTAAGTAAATTCGTATTTAATCGATTTATTGAAACACGAAATTTATTTTAAGTTCCTAAAATAGCTAAGTGCCTACGTTTCATGACAATGTGAAAATGGAGTGTGTAGGGTAAAATCTCGCTTTCCCATAGCCCATTATGTCTCAAAATGACGCGATTTCGTCACAAAACATAAAATTAAAAAAATTCTCATTCGAATTTCGAAAAACTCGCTTCGAGGTGCACTGGCTCTTGTCTAGATGCACCTATGTACCAAATTCCGTAGCCGTGGGTCTATTAGCTTACGCGCAGCGCGAACGAATGACGCACTGACACACACACAGACAGATTCTTTCTTTTATTATATGTAGAGGTTAATTTACATATTCCTTTTAATTTTTTTAAACATTCTTCAAAAATTTATTCAAACGTTTTCTAAAGTAATTTTTAAAACATTTTTCCGTTCAATTTGCATCTTACTTTCCAAAGGGGTTTCAAAAGGTTATAAAATTTCATCCTTTCTAATTTTTTAAAAAATTCAGTTAAAGAATGTTTGCAGGATAATATAATATAATCTTTTTCTCATAATTTATAAATTTTTAGTTTTTGATATATATATATATATATGTAAGAAAATAAAAATAACAATAACATCTCTGAACGGCGTCATTTCTAGATTAATTTTTGCCACAAAGCTTGCGTAACGCTAATGACGTAGCTATTTTGGAACTTAAACTCTTGAGAACTGAAACCTTTGTAAACCAAAACCTTCCTATATGGTGATCTGTCATTTGGATAAATGTATACTTCGTTTGTAACTCTGTTGCTGCTTGGACGTCATTTCACTGTGCTCTGTTCCTGTCGCAACTGTATTCAAAAATGTAAATGTTCTGAAAATAGGAAAGATTAGAATGCCAAGTGAACTGTGGCTACAAATGTGAATTTAAATATAAACGAAATTAAAACTGCCTTAAATGCCAAATTTCTTACTCATTGCGAATCGCCATTTCAGTATTCTACGCAATCAGTGTTCTTTCTCTTCAATATGGATCTACGTTTTACGTCTAACAACATTACTACTTTTTCGCTTTTTTATCACATATATATGTATATACGTAAAAATGCACAAATAGATGCAACGATGTAGAAAAATTGATTGCAATTTTGAGATGTTGATTCATAATGAAGAGCAAACTTAGCAGCTGAGGCAGATTAAATATTAATCTTTATTTCAAATGACATTTGTAGTCCCATTTCCATTTGTAGCCTTTTATTTCTGCTTCGAAGGCAACTGCACCACTTGATGCTTCGAATACGAAAGGCAACATGACGTCGGTGATTTATTAACGTTCATCTTGTTTGGGGGGACACTAAATTTTAGCGATTACATTTTCCTTTTTATATTTTAATGGAAAACATTAAAAGGACTCATAGCAGTAATACAGCAACTACACAACGGCGCAATAACTGTTACATAACTTAAACACACGAATATTCTCTTTCGGCGCAACTGCGCCCTCTTACGATTAGAAGTTGAAACACACCCCACCTGTGTTGTGTTTAAAGTGCACCAAATTTACAAATCAATAATGAATGTTCAAATAAATATAAATCAATACAATGCAACTCAATATAAACAAATATCAAAATTGAAAACAGCATTGGAAATTAATACTATATGTCATAAACAAATATTTTACAAGACCTTAAGATTTCAAAATGATAGATCAATTGAAGTGGTTTTCGATAAAGTCCTTGAGAAGTACCAATCAAACGTGAACCGCACGTACCCATCTCTACCTTTATAAAAGTCTTCTGGAATTCCAAGAGGCAATAATTTTGATTTTGTTGACTCCTTCGACAATACAACCTCAGCTTTCTAAGATTCCTTTTAAGAGATGGATTCAGAAAACTGTTTTTTCAAAAGATTAATCTGATACAATTTTCTCCTAATTAAAATCTTCCTGTTAGTTGATTGATTCCTGAAAAGATCGGCGGCACAGGATAGAAAATGTAGTCCTGCCTTGCAAACAAGAATCTATGCAAGTGCCGGAATTTAGGCAACAGAATCTCGTAGTCTGAAACCAGAACCTAGGCAGGTATCTAGGAAGTCTATGC